TTTAAAAAATACTATTGAACACTGAAAAGAAACATCTGAGTACAGTATATGAAATGTAGGTTTTTAGAGTGGCATGCAATAGATTTGCTTACAAATAATAAAAATAATTCAAAATATACATAATAAGAGTGAAAACCAGATTAAGCTAAGGGTACAGATAATCATAGGACAAGATAATTGAATCCTAAATAACACTGATTCCAATATTTGTAGTTTAAAATAAGACTTCCACTCTGCCAATATCACATTATACACTCCAACTACATTGCCTTCACTTAGTTTGGTTTCCAGCTTGAGAAGGGATACAGAGAAACTATGCCAAACCAGAGTGACCATAATGTACTGGTAGGGAATTTGGGTTCTGAAATCTTAATGCCTGAATTCAAACACAAAGACTTCTACTTACTGGCCATAACCTACAGAAGTTATTTCTGCTGTCATTGCCCCTGCTTTCTCTGCTGGACAATGACAATGATGAAGATGATGATGATGATGACGATGATGATGATGATGATGATATTATTTAAAGGTTGCTGGGTAGATTTAATAGGATTAAACATTAGTAAGATAAATGGTAAGCATTCAATTAATATTACCTGTTATTATGTCCAAAGGGGAGAGTTCAGAATAATGATGCAATTTGAAATATTATGTAAGGAACAGATGAACAGAATTTAGAAAAGAGGAGACAATTCTCATAGCCTCCAGATTCATGGGCTTTCAAATCACTAGACAGAAGTTATAGCAAAATGAATTCTAGTTGAAAAAAAACAAGCAAAAGAAGAAGAAGAACTTTGTGAAAATTAGAGTTTTGCCAAGTCAGAATGGACATTTTCAGAATTAAGACTTTTACTTTATAGTATATCATAGGGAAGATTAAAAGAGGCAATATATTTGTGATAATGGCTTTACTAATTAGACTGATTTGATCATTCTACAATATATACATGTATCAAAACAACACATCATATTCATAAATGTAAAAAATATTTGCCATTTTAAAAACTCTTAAAAATGTTGACAGTAAAAAGAAGCTTATTCAAGATATCCTTTAAGATTCTACATTAAAAATAATTTTTAAAATCATATGACGTAAACTCTCCTTTTACTACAAAAGTTTAAGTCAATAAAACAGCCAACAATATTTAATTGCCTCATCTTTGAAGCCTAACATCATCTACAATTTCTAACCATCATTGACTTTTCAGTTCTCTGAATTGCTATACTCTTGTAAGCAAATCATATCTACATTTTAAAAGCATATAATCTCATAATTATTTCTAGTTCTTTAGATTGATTTTTAAGTTCCAAACCAGTTTTCAGTGTTGGGACGCTAGAGATCACATAACATATTGTTCTTCTCTACCTTATAGTATTTAGCATACAGGTGGACAAAGTGGCCAGCAAATAGAGATTTTCCATTTGAACCTAAAGCATACTGTTTAACAGAAATCTCAATACAAATACAAGAAATTTGCTGTGAACAATTCCATTTAAAAATTAGGTATTTCAGAAGTAAAGATTTGCTTAAGTTCTTAACACCAGTATAAAAATTACTTAAAAAGACAGACCTGTATACTGCTTATTTATCATCAATAACAACAACAAAAAACACTTTGAGAAAATTGGGTATTTTATCAGTTGCAATTTTCCCATCCCAGCAGCATTATCTGTTGCTTTATTAAAAATTAATTTTCATAGAAAGAAATGTATATTATAGAGTGCCTACTGTATTATGCATGTGTTCAATGACATTTATTTCAGCATTAGAATAATGATTTTCTTCATTTCTACTGATAAATAAATAACTATGAAGTCAGTTTAATAATAGGTCAGTTATATAATACACTGTAGATGTTATTTTGTTATTTCTCTGTATGGAATTAAGTCACTTTCTGTCTATGACACTTGCTCTACAAAAGTAAAAGCTAAATTTAAATCTGCTTTCTTTTTATCTACCAAAAAAATGGAAAAAGAACTCTCAATATATTTCTGATTAAACTTATGATGTCTCTTTGAACTCCTGAACCTTTAAAAAGTTGACTCTATTTTGAATTGAAAAGAAACAGCTTTTTCAGAGTTCTAACTTAATAAAACATAAAGGCAAAAGAATGTATAATTAAGTATAAGAATAAATGAGTCCATTTTTCTCTTATCTGATAAGAAAGGGAGAGAAGGTAAGGGGAGGAAAAGAGGGAGGGAAGGGAGGAATCACAATCCCAGTTAAGTCTAGATGATATCTTTTACAATTTTTTTTTAAGATCAAATTTTGGAAGTACAAATCCATCACAAAATTACAGCCCGATTGTAAAACATAGGAGTTTTCCGGTGAAAACAGTTGAGTTTGAATCCAAAATCCATCTGTTAAGTAACATAATCAAGTTGCCTAATTTTTCTCAGCCTCAGTTTTTCCACTTGTAAAGGGATTTTTACAGTGTTATTTACCCTCATAAAATTTTGACCATTTGATGGCATAAAGTATCTGAAGCATTCTGAACTATACTCAGTAAATGGCAAGCATATGTAATTGTATTTTAAATTACTGCTATCCCTGGTTTTGCCACCTGCTGCGCAAATGCAAGGACCCAAGTTCGATCCCCAGTACCAAATAAATAAATAAATAAATACATAAATAAATAAATAAAGTACCGCTATCCTGCAGAGTATCTGTTTATTCATAGTCCACTTTATGGAAACAAGCCATGTGAAGAAGAGAATGGGACTCAAACTTTCTCTACCCAGTCTATGCTAAGGCCCCAGAGAATGTGTTTTCTCTACAAAAAGGAAAAAAATAGAACTCAGATCTTTGACCATAGCCTTCTTCCCAGTAAGGCAGGAATGCTCATTTGGAAGCTGGGATTATGACTGTAGCCCATGTATTTAATATCCTACAATTCTATGTTCTAGAACATCAGATCAAACAAAACTAAGCAGGACACATGGAATTAAATACTACTTAACACTGCTACCCTGACCAGAGGTCTTCAAAATCGGGGAGGGGGGTGTGTGTGAAAATCCCAACATTTTGAATATACACTCTGAAATAAAAATATAATAAATAAATAATAAATATATAATTTATGTAAAGTATCTACTGCATTGACAAATTACATTATAAAACATTCTGAAGAAAGATCTAGCAATGGATCTGAACCTTTTTCCAAGCTCCCCTTCTCTGGAAATATTCAGGGTAAGATAAATGGGGAATACCAGCTGTGTTTCTAGGTATACTGTTTATTATAGGTTAGTGATGATGAACCTTTTAGAGCTTTCAAAGATACAAAAACCCCACTGCAGCACAAGTACCATAGGTTTGCCTCACAGTTTTAGGTGAAGTACACCTACACTGGGACAACAGCTGAACTAGAAAATCATTCGGAGACTCAACAGACCTCGGCTCCCTGTGGGCAGTGTGTTCTTGTAACTGAGGGCATCTCTTGAGAGGACCCGGGGTGTTTGTTGTACGACACTGGTTCATGTGGAGCATAAGCCGTCCCCAAGGTAAGGGAGGCCATGATTTCCCACACTGTCTCCTCATCTTAAAACTGAGTTGCTCAGTGAAAAGACAAGGAAAGTGATTTCTAACAACTACAGGAGGCCCACTGAAGAAGTACTGACATTATCCTGTTAATTATTCTGTTTTCTGCTCCACATCTTTCTAGTAAACCAAGTGATCCTGATAGCAGTTAACAGCCTTTTGAGTCACATGAGTGTCAAAATCAAGCCAAAACTTTCAAGTCCTCTGCTGGTGGTCATGGAGACATCAAATATACAAAGACATACTATTTTTTTTACCTGTATCTCCATGAATTAACTTAAGGAACATAACTCTGAGATCACAGCCTGGTATATATGCTTTTCAAAATAGTTGCAATTTGGGTATATTCTTTGTAAAACACAAGATATTTTTCCCTTTTTTTCTTTTTATTTATTTATTATTGTAAATACCAAATTTTCTTTATTGATCATATGTTGATGGACATATAGGCCCCTTTCAAGATTTAGATATTATGAATTGTGCTGCTATCAACATGAGAATGCATGTATCACTGTAACATAATTTCTTTAACTTCTTCAGGAAGATATCTAGAAAGGGAATAGCTGTGTCAAAAGAAATTTATAGTTTCAGTGCTTTAGAGAAACTCCATACTGATTTCCATAGTAGTTGTACTAGTTTACATTTCCACCAAAAATTTGGGGACAGCTTTTTCTCCACAGCCTTGCTAGCATTTGTTATTATTTGATTTCTTTCTTATTTTATTCATTAAGTTTATTGGTACATTTTAGGAATACAATATGATGCCATTAATCATTGAGAATTTGTACCTTTACATGATACATCTTGGTTCTTATTTTTTTTTCCCCATTTCCTTGCCCTCTCTTCCATTCCTCCACCCCTTTTTTTGAGTCAGGGACTCACTCTGTAATACAGGCTCGTCTTGAACTCACTATACAGCCCAGATTGGCCTTGAACTCAGGGCGACCCTCCTGCCTCAGGCTCCCCAGTACTGGGATTACAGGCATGTCCCACCATGCCCAGCGCCCTTTTGTTTAATGTTTTTGGCAGATCTTTATCTTTGGGCATTGCAAATCTTTGCTTTAATTGTAACTATTATTTCCTCTCTGCCTTTTTAAACTAAAAACTGGTCATTCCATTGTTATAAATTCTTCAGAACCAAGAGTTTCTCAAAATAAAAGCACTAAAATATGTTCTTGAAGTTCTTCATTTCTTATTTTCTTAATTTAGAGGATATTAGGACAAATCTATAAGGTGTTTTAAAAATTATTCCATTGTAGGAGAATCAGTGTTTAATTTTTATATATTGTTATGTTTATTTCATTAAAATATGCTATGCTTAAAATACAGCCATGTCTTCCAGTCTTAACACTACACTAAATTCCAAGTCAAAAAATACTTTTACAACTTTCCATAAAAATTTCTATAGCATTATCTTCCTTTACTCCATTTTTAGGCACACATAATTTTTGTTTAAACTTACCCTGAAACATGCAACATCAGCAGCATGTAGAAGACAAAGAAGAGGTTATGAGTATACCAGAAGATATCATAATTGGAAACTCTGAAAAAAAACCAAACAAATTGGTTTCAATCCTCTTCTACATTCCATCTCACTAAAAAGAGTATGCATTACTTCAAACCTACATCACAATTTAAGAATACTAAAATATGAGTTTATCTGAGATTTATCTATTAATACCAAAATATTAACATATCAGACAAAAACAAATGAATTAAGCAGAAGTAGCACTTCTATCATTTTGAAGGTTCTTTGTATTTCAAATAAAATCACATGGAAAGAATTAAACTAAAGTGTACATTTTAAAGTTATGATGGAAAGCTAAGAAATGAAGAGCCTGATAATTTGTGTATTTGCTGTCTTTTTTAGTAACATTTCCAATATTCAAATGATTTCTAAGAAAAGTAATGTTTCCACCCTAATATACATTTTTGAGATTAGTTCAAAAGAAACTGCAATGAGGGCTGGGGATTTAGCTCAGTGGTTCCACCGCCTGCCTCACAAGCACAAGGTCCCAAGTTCAATCCCCAGTACCAAAAAAAAGAAAAAGAAATTGCAATGAAGAGATAATTAAAATAAATGTTCAAAGTTTTATACTCTTTTCTTGGACAGTGTAACCTCATAATCACACCTTAATGGATTTTTCTCTAGAGGAGAACAGTGTTTAAAAAGAAAGGGAATGATAAGCACAAACTATTGAATGTCTGAGAGAACTGCAAAGACTAACTGGCATTTTATGTCGTATGTCTAGAGTAAATGTTTATTTATTAGCATCTTGGAGGTGGAAGACAAATATTTGTAAAAGCTTCCTGGATGACTGTGGTACCTCCCCTAGGACCTTTCAGAACCTGTTATTTAAATAATAGGTCACTGTTGTATATTTTCTCCAATCAAAATATTTACCCGTAAACAACTTATAAAATATGCATTCTTACACATATCTGATTCTTTTTAGTCAAAATTACTAGCAGTAAAATTGTTACATCAAAGGATAGACAATTGTAATACTATTGATGCACACTGCCCAATATTCTCTAAAACTGCATTTATTACAAATATCCAGTGGTTGCACCGCCTGCTGAGCAAGTGCAAGGACCCAAGTTCAATCCCCGGTACCAAAAAATAAAAAATAAAACACAAATATCCAATCATAAAGTAGTGCTTGTTTCTCTAAAATCAAACCCCACTTCATAAGTTTACATTATTTTTATGCATGAGTATTATTTTATATCAATGTTACTTTCAAGTTTTCTGTAACTTCTCTCTTCATAATAATGACCCATCTCAGTTCATACTAAAGCCCCAACATGAGAAAACTATTTACATTTTAAGAGTGTACTGATTTGTGGTGATTCTAGCAGTTCTTCTCATATCACATTTACTTTTCAATTTTATATTGTATATTGATATGCAGAAGTTTTACTTTTCATATTTGTAAACAATCAAATATTTCCGCTATGACTCCTCATTTATTTTGAGGTCTGATAAATACCTACTTACAGTGTCTTAAAATTTGAATTTTATCATTTAATCTGTACATTATGCAGAATTCCATTTGCTTACACCTTACTTTCTTGATAAGCTTGTTATGGTGGCTGTACTATTGAGTAGGTTTTATACATCACAGGATACCTTGCAGGGCCTTCTATCAGCTCTGTTTCTTCAAACTTTTCTGCAAGTCTTACTTTAAATTACTGAAGCTTAATCATTTGACTGTTTAGTAGGGCACTTGCTTCTTTTATCCTCTTTTAACATAAACTTCATGTTTCCTGTACTGCTTTTAGAATTACTTTACTAAATTCAAAAAACAAGCAAAATAACCTGTCTGGGATTTTTATTGAAATTGTAACAGGCCTAAAATAAAGTTGAGGAAAAATTATGCCTGTATGGTGTAATGCCTTTATTCAAATTTCTCCATATTTCTCTTAGTGAACTTATATGGGGCTTTTTTCTATTCTTAGTTTCTTACCAAGTTTATTCTTACATATTTCATATTTGTTACAATTAAGAGTTGTATTTTTGTTTTATTCTGTTTTCAAACTGATCACAGCAAGTATAGAGAAGACATTTTTAAATATTTGTTTTGTATTTGACTACTTTTTTATTAATTATATTGGTACATTTAAGATATACAATATAATGACATTCATCATTGGAGATTTGCACCTTTACGTAATCCATCTTTGGGTTTATTTTTTCCCCATTTCCCTGCCCTCTCTTCAAGCCTTCCATCCCTCCCTATCTACAAAGACTTTGTTTCCATTTTTTCATTTTCTCATATTAATTCCATTCCCTTCTTTCCTCTCCCCTACCCCTCCCACTTCCCCTTCCCCTTTGCCCCTTTTCTTCCTATTTCACATTATCTATTATACCTTTTAGTCCTTATTTACACTTTCAGTTTCTCACATTAGAGAAACTATTCAATATTTACACATGTGTGTCCTATTTGTATTTGACTACCTTTTATTTGATATTTACAGTAAATTTTCCATATTTTAGATTTTCTGAGTAGATGGTTATATCTAATGTTATGAAAACGGTGAAAATAGAATGTTGCCTTTTTTCTAATAATTCCAAATGCTTCATTTCTTACCATATGTAAGTAAAGATTGAATTAAAACTATCACCTTGGCTTTATCTTGATTTTCTAAGGAGTATAACTACTGTTTTACTACTTGTCACCTAATTTTGCCTTTTATAATATTTCAATTCCATAAAGAAAAACCATTTAATTTCTAGTTTATTTAATGTGATTATTTTTCTTCATAAATTTCACATTTAAAAAATTGTCACTTTAAAATCTATTGAAATGAGAAAATTGATCCAATTGCCTTCGAGTAGGATATACTATTTTAAGATTGATTAAAAAAAAGACTGATAAAGATTGAACTTTCCTTGAATTAGACCACTTCCCACTATCAGAAATCAAACATTGAGGTGATATTTATTCACCTAATTTCTCTTGTTTTATTTCCTCATAATTAAAGAGAAAAGGTAGAAGATTATTCTATGGTCTATTTAAGGATTTCATTCTCACAACAAAGCCTGAAGAAAAGAAAAATAGGTGTTATAATCTTTAAACAAATCAGAAAAACTGAAGATTAAGATGAACTCAAGAATTGTTTATGAAAACAAATATGATAGCTCAGTTGAGACTAGAAGTTTGATTTTTATAATCTACTTAATAAATCTCTCAAGAATACTTTTTCTAGATGTAGCATATTCATATATGTTCATTCCGATAAATAAGTACACTCAAATAACTTAATTTTCCAAAATTAAAATTTTGGGCAAAAGTGCCCAAAACTAAAAATGTTTTTAAATAACTGCTTTCCTACATAAGAGAAAAATTCTCCCCAGACAATTGGCACTCTCATACACTTAATAATGTCAGTGTTTTGCTTTTCTGAGAGGCAATTTTTCTCATGAAAATTTAAAAGTGTGCTTACCATTTGAGCTGGTTATTCTACATCTAGGAATTGTTTCTTAGGACATAAATGAAAAAGTGTGCAAACCCATATGGATGAGGATGTTTGTTTCAGAATTAAATAGTGAAAAATTGAAATCAACCCAAAACATCCAACAGTATGAGACTAGGAAAATAATATATATCTATATGGTTCCTTCAGGAAAGAGGATGATAAAAAATTATTAATGTGGAAAATTTTTCATAAGCAAAAAGTAGGTCAAAAATAGTATAATACTATGATCTTCTTTTGATAAAATATATACATATATGAAGAGAGAAAGATTAGAGTGCAAGAGAGTAAAAAAGGAGGTAAAAAGAAGACAACAAATAAGCAAAACCAAGAGCATTAAGTCTATAAAAATAAATACATACTTAGTTTATAGTGTTAATCTCTGAGTTTCCTTGTATAGGCTCATTTGAGGGTATTGATGTGCAATTATTTTCAAAGTATACATATGTTTGTGTCTGTTTTCATTAAATTTCCCATAAGATTTTTGAAAATTAGAAAAAAGTTCTTTTCTTTTTGTTTTCTTGAAACAAAAAATTTGATCAGAAACGTAAGACACTATAAATACTCTGAAAAATGAAACTTATCTACCAGAAAAAACATATTAAAGTGCCCTTAATGATGTATTTCCAATTTTTTTTAAAGAAACAGGTTTTTGCTATGCAGTTCAGGCTGGCCTTGAATTCACTATGTAGTCCAGGCTGGCCTCAAACTAGAGGCAATCCTCTCCAGTGCTTGGATTATAAGCATGAGCCTCATGCCCAGCAAGTATTTCCAATTATTTTGGTAGATATTAACAAACCATGTCTCTAAAGCTATGCTTTGAACACTATTATACTACAGCAAAACAAATTTGCATCAGGAAATTAGCTATAAAATGAGTTTTTTCCTTTTTTTTTGGTACCAGGGATCAAACTTTGGACCTTGCACTTGTGAGGCAGGTGGCAGAGCCACTGAGCTAAACCCCTGGCCTAGCTACAAGATAATTTCAAGTCATGTCTTCTTAGGAATTAAATCCCAAAGCCCTTGTTGTGTGCAGTTGAACTCAATCTCATGTCCTACAGACATACACTATGCTTCAAAACGATGATCCTGAAGGACTCAAATTTCCTTGGTCATCAAATTCAGTCTCCATACACAACTGCTTTCAAACCCAGAAAATCTAACTAATACAAATACATTTTCACGAAAAAAAGAAATAATAAACAGAACTGTTTCTACTTCAGTCTTATTACCCAGAATAGTCCATTAACAAGGACACTGCATTGGTTAAATCCTTTGGTTAATCAAAACTTTTTTCCCCATACATGAAAACAAAGATAATATGAAAACATCTGAATATTATGAACTAGTAAAAGTAACAAAACAACAACTCTAACACTTACCTTATTGCATACGTGGAAGCTGTAATCATGAGGAACAGCACCACTACCATACAGACTCCTGTCAGGCCAGGAACTGTAAAAATGTACATAAGTGTACCTTTTAGCTTAAACCATACTGAGAAAAAACTACAAAAAATTACCTTAAAATAGAAAGCACTATGCTGTTCTGTGGGAAACCAAATTCAAACAAACCTTTTCAAAATCAACAGAGTTTCAACAAATTTAAGATAAGACAGATTTGTCCCTTTTTTTTCTCCCTTGGGTACCAGGGATGGAACTCAGGACCTTCCACTTGCCAGACAGGCGCAGCACCACTGAGCTACATCCCCGGCCCCTCTTCTCCTCTTCTATTGGAAGAGTTTCCAAATCATCTATGCAGAATGGCCAATCTGTTATTACTCCTAAGGGCACACACTATATTAAATGGTAGCAATTACTGCAAGGGGCCTGGGTTCACGTTCAGCATTGTGCTGTTTTGTTTTCTCCTCCTCAGTACTCAATCTCCCTTACTCCTCCTTTTATGGAACCCGTAACTCCATCAGTTTCATTAACTGTGTTTGGGCTTCACTATTTGGAATACTTTAAAGAAAACATGTTTTTAAATCTAAAGCTTTATAAAAACCAAAAGCATACCAAAAAAATGTGTATTTCAAGAAATAATCATTGTGCTAATGTTTCAAGAACACAGCTAACATATTTCTTCTTAGTATGGAAAACATTCTAAAATCAATGCTTCTTACATGGCACAAATTAGTTTGTTTTAAAAAAATAAGAAAATGCGAAAACATGTCAAAATTAATGATGTGGTAAATTGCTACAAATTTAGCACTAGTCTACCCAGCATATCCAAAAGAAATAGCTGTTACAACATAGTTAAAACCATGAAAATCTCAATAGAATCCTTTCTTACTCTCATATCTCTATGAAATTAAATATCCTGTGAATGTTACATTTTTCACTCTGAAAAAAATCACACATGCAACAGCGAGTCATAAATGCCCCAGCTAAAAGACTCCTAAATTAGGACACAAAGAAAGGCTGTTGGAACAAATCTTTCTTAAGAAGTACAGGCATCTCCCTCTTCTCTTCTTGAACTGCAAATCACTCAGAGAAGATTCAAATTGGGTCAGTGTAAGAGCAATACAGGTGTGCACCATTAGAATTTGAGCAGGCTTAGAATCATTGGAAAATAACAATATCAGAACTCTCCGTACAGTAACAACTAGTTCCACTTGTAAAGGGTCACACAAAAATAAAGAGTCTTTAGATTCACACTTGAGCACTTTCTCATTCTTCCCAATACACAGATTTAGAGCCCTAATACAATTTGCCCTTCCACGATATACCAAATCCAAATCCTAGCTTCTGTATACATCCTTTCTAGAGTACTCTTTTTCCCATTATCTCTTCCATTTTCTGCTGATGAGTGCTTACTTCCTAGGGGGTAAATGAAGAGGAAGGTAACTAATGTAGTTCACAATAAAGGATTACTAGTAAAGAAAATACACTATTTTTAAAAATAGCATGCCTACAAAATGATGTAGTTATCACACTCCCAAATGTTTACTCACAGAAAACAAAACACAAAAACTTAACCACAAAAGATTTGTTTGATTAGTCATAGCTGCTTTATTTTTAATAATCAGCATATAAATAACTCAGATACTCATCAACAAATGAATGAACAAATAATTATGATATTAACTGCACCTAGAAAATCAGTAGTCAAAGAAACTATGAATTATTGACATATTAATCAGTAATACAAGAACAGAAAATTATACGACTGTGTGAAAGAAACCATATTGCCTCAGCCCCAAAGTATAAGTTTTATAATTACTTCTTTATAAAAATCTATACGATTCATACCATTCTTGAATGATAGAAACAGATGAGTTTCTAGGAGGGATAGAAGACAGGATGTATTATTTATTTGTTTGGGGGGTTTTTTTTTGGTACCGGGGATCGAACTAGGGTCCTTGCGCTTGCGCAGCAGGCGGCGAAACCACTGAGCCAAATCCCTGGTCTGACAGGATGCATTATTAAGGGGTACAAAAACTTTGGGGAATAATGGAAATATTTGTTATGTAGATTTTGGTGACAGCTTGACATATATATTATATACTAAAACCAATGAAATTACATATTTTACATATAAGTGGGATTTAGTGAACTTCAATTATAATTCAATAAATGTGAGAGTCAAAAGGTTAGTTTCACTAGCTGCACGTAATTTTTAAAAGGCTTTATTTAATCAAATGAATAACTAAGCATGAAAACCCCAGATGGCATGAAGTCTATGGTTAGAGGGGCCTGCCTCTCTAAAAATTTTATTGGGCACTTATTAATGTTCTGCTATGTTTACATACAAGGATTCCTATGTGACTCTGAACATGCCAAGATTAGTGATAGAATGTCTGCAAATCATCTTATTGGTGTTAGAATAGTGCCACACTTTCCAAAGTTCAATACTTGAACATTAGTTCCTTGAGATATTAGTTTCTCAAACTAATCTCAAACTCAAAAAAGGCATAGCCATCTCTTGAAAAGTTACAGGACATATTAGTGTATTGAAGTACTGAAGTCAAGAAACCCATTGAAACTTTAAACATTTCCTCAAACTTACTTGACTACAGAATCCTTCTTTTGTCTGAGCAGAACATAGAAAATGTATTCAAAAGACGTAGAGGGGATGAAATGCTTGCTCATGGTAGAGAATTTGCCTAGAACTTGACTGGGTTCAATCTTCAGCACAAGAAAAGAAAATACTTTAATTTATAATGTATAAAGTACCACTTATTTATAAACTTACTTCTACACTATGCACTTCCTTCTAAATGCATAAAGCGGTAACTTATTATTTCACATTCCAAGGGTCAAGATAAGCAGTCTAAAACTACTGGACTAGTCTGGGCACTAGTTACTTGTCTAAGTGATTACATTTATTTTTCTGTGAAAGTTATGAAAACAAACATATTATTGAATTTTTAGAAAAATACAAGCTTATATATTTATTTCTATTGCTTTTTTATATATGCATATTAAACTAAATAGTCGCCTTTAAAATGAGTAACTGCACTTATACTGTCATTTCCTAATGAACTTCAGATACCATTTGTACCCATACCTGATGGATAAAATATACCATCTTCTATTCATTACCCTACTTTTTTGAACATAATTAGAAGCATAATTTTATTTGTTTATGCAGATTTTCTAACTGAAATTGGATGCCAGGCATTCTATTTTCACCAGCAAAGTATTACCAAATCTGGAGATATGTAGTATATAATCATTCCTAAATAAATGTTTGAGCAATCCAAACTCTCAAGCTTACTTTATAAATTATTAATTGAAATATTTGTACTATTTCCTATGTAGCCAGTCCAATTACCATATTTTGTCACTTGTACTTCTACAGACTTTTGTTGTTACAAAACAATCTTCATTTCTTAGTCCCAAATTATAGTTAAAAAAAAATTTAGCAGAGAAGAAAACCAAATCACATCAAACACACTAATATCCAAGAAATTTGTCAACTAATAAGAATACTCTCTGCCACTACAACTCAAAACATGCACACATTCCTTTACTAGAAACATAATTTTTCCTAGATATTGTGCCTAAGACTATTCGAAGATAGTTATGAAATAGTTGTAGCCACTGGTAATAACCCAAGATTGAATTAAGTCTATTTGTAGAAAACAGTACCTGTCATCGAACTATGGCTTTAGATTTCCCAGTGTTCTATCATCTACTACTATTTGGTGGGATTAAGCAGATGTTCTAGGAGCTCGAGATTCTATTAGGGAGTCCTGGGCCTGAGCTCCAGATCCAGGCTGATTACCTGGGAAGTAGATCGCTCCTGATGGCCAACACAATACTGCTTTCAGGAAATTATGTGAGTCGTGGCCACCAAAATAGTGCTCTCTTGTTGATTTTCAGTTACTGAAATGTTTTAGATTGACAGAAGCCCCACAAAAGAGAACTGCTATCAGCCTTGCATATGCTAGAAGCATCTCTACTGCATCCTGGAGAAGCTCACCTTCAAGTGGGAAAGACAGCACATGAAGGAAATTAACTATTCTATAACATAGTAGAATCGCAGCCTGTCAGCTGTGACTTTAAGGATGATCTGGCCCTGACCAGGTAAACAAAAAAGAGTTGGCTATTTCAGAGAAAAAGTGAGTAGTGAGAAAGGATGCCCAAGAGTACAATGAGCTTTTCCATGGAGGTAGAACAGTAGCTTCCAAAGTACCTGGGAAGGTGGGTAAAGCATTCTGCAAAGACTCTCCCTGAAAGACTCTAAAATAGAACCAGATCATTTGTGTTTTTAAGTTATCATCTCTACTTACTCCAGAGCCAATCATGAGGAACCCTAGGAAAAAACTCGTTGACAAAGTTTTATGGGAAGTGGAGAGTACACCTACCATATACTGAGTTGTCTTAGGGCAGCATCTTAGTCATGTAAGAAATCTTTTTAAATCTTTGTGAACTAGATTTTAAAGTATTTTAATGTCCCAAGGCTTCAATTAAACATTTGCAATAGAAAGTAATAATACAAAGTTCTTTATTTTTCTTAAATTAATTCACATGAACAAAAATACACTGATTCATACATAAGGTTTTGTTTTTCTGCTTTTTTCCCATTTTTCATCCAATTCTTGAGGCTTAAATAAAAACATGTTTCTGATGAGAAAATTTCTAAGCAAACTGAAACTGTGTTCCCAAAGTGCAAACTGTGAAATACTTTAAAACTGGTAAATATTGTAAATTTGTAGGCAGAAAAAAATATATACTTATAAATCTAATCATGTGATTGTGGCACAGAGGGTAAAGTACTTGAATTTTTGCTATTTTTCTTCATAAAATGGGTTCAAGCCAGGGATTTAGCTCAGTGGTGCCACCACCTGCCTCACAAATGCAAGGTCCTGAGTTGGATTCCCAGAACCAAAAATAAATAAATAAATAAATAAAATGGGTTCAAAAGGAAAACGATGAATTTGACAGGGTGATGTGGCCTCTGATCATTAATAGGTTATTACAGCTGATATTTATGTTAGATTATCTCAACCACCTCATCATCTTTGGGGCTAAAATATGTGCTAAAGAAATCCCCATAATGCAGTTTTCTCCTTTCACCTTTATAAATAAATATAAGGTTTAGAAAGAGTAGAAATTTAGAATTATCTATTGGGGAAATTATGAGATGTTCAAATGTGTTGTAACAAATGAATAATCTAGACTGAGATTTCACAGACAATAAGCTTGAGAAGGAAAACTAAATTACCAAGAAAAAGAAGACAGTTCAAAAAATGGCTGATTTTAATGATCTCCTCTTACAGGTTTTAAGATCGCAATACCCTACTAAATTACTGAATTGTAAGAACTACACTGACAGGGTATTTGCTGTTTCTTTCCAGCACCTGGAGAGCAGAAATCCATCTCCCACTGCATTTGTCACAACAGCAAGCACAAAGCAGGCCCCTGCTAAGCATGTGGGGTCACAGTGATTTTTCTGGAAGAACATACGACAGACAGAACCAACGGCTTACTTTTATTCTCCATTCACACACACTCCAATTGTTTGCCTTGTCCCTCTGTTTTCCCTGAAACATTATGCCTGGACTCTTAATATTTGTTCTCTTATGCAATCTTCCATATGTTATATTATAGCAGGCCTCTAACTGCTATGCAACTTGACAGTGCCTCTTTCCAAAGACGTTCCAAACTCTAAAGAAGGGAATGAATAACAACTTACCGGTTGTGAAGAGAAGTTTTCTAGGATCCTGAGAAAAAGGGAAAAGAAAAGATGTGACTGAAAAATAAAATATTGATGATATAAAGTTCTACATGAAGTTAGCAGAGTATAAGAACCAAGGATTGAACATGTAAAGTGCGATTCTTCAGTTTAAGTAGAAGAGATTTAATTAAGCTTCACACTGCTAGAGATTATAACGAGTATAAAATCCAATATAGAACTTTGTCCGTCTGAGAAAAGCAGAGCACTGAATGCATCAGAAGGCCTGGGTTTTAATCTTACTGACTACTTACCAGCCAGTGGCTATGGTCTTAAGGATACAGCAGACCATTCTGAGACTCAAATCTTTAGTTACACTGTGAAAATATTCATACACACTGTCTACTGCAAATGACAAACTACATCTTCAACACAGTGAGAATCAAAACTGATAAAATACGTGGGGGTTTTGCATACTGTAAACTCAGTGCAAAGATACCTAACTGAGAACTTACTGCTTTAAATACTATGGGACGTGGTATGGAAACTATGGAAACAAGAAGGATAGGTTTCTGCTACTTGAAAATATAAAACACTGATATTGTTATTATAATATTTACTTTAAATTATTTCCATCATTCTGTAATAGACTATAGTCAACTCTCTACCTTCCAGAAAACTTAGTTCAATCCTCAGTATATATGCGGATTTTTCACCCTCATGTGCTTAATATTGCACAAGCTTTTAAAATTTGTTCATTTTGCTTTGTTTCCTGCAGGGTTAGGAATCATACCCAGGGCTTTGCACATGCTAAGCAAGGGCTCTATCACAGAACTACACCCCTAGCAACCTGCACACACTTTCGAATTCTTTTCTTTATGGACCTTTGAATTTGGAGTTAGTCCAGGCTATAAGATGAGTGGCAAGCCATTTATGTGGTGTAATTTCTAGAGTCTTAAATAAGGACCACTTGTCTTGGAATAGCTCCTCACCTGCCTTAGGTCACATGACTTATCTTCCTAGTACTATAAAAATGGCCACAGTGTGATCTAGAGAAACTCAATACATAAACAGTTGTTAACAAAGAAAGGTAAGATGAATTGAGCAAAGTGGGAGTACTAGAAATAGGAATAAATTAATACAAAAATCCAGAAAGTGGAACAATTAGTATTACCAAGGGAAGATGGAAGATGAGAATAAAGGACAGTTTCACAGACAAAAAAATGAGGCAGATTTAATTGGCCCACCAAAAATACACAAGTCACAAGGTGGAAGATCGGTTACTCCAGGCTGAGCAAAAGCATAACACAAGAGCAAGAAGATACATGGCACAAAATCATCTCTGAAAGACAATTCACAGAATAATATATTTGTTTACACACGCATAAGCACGTGCCTCCACACACAAACACTTTTACTTTCATCTCTATTTAGCACATTATCCCATATTTACTAGGTGCTAAATACTTATTTACTAAAAGAAGAGGGAGAACAAAGGAAGATAGGTAGAATGAAATTTTAAAAAGGGAGGAAGAAAAGGAAAATACAGCATCTTAAAATAATGAGTTGTCCTTTTCATCCATTAGATTGTGGGGGGTGGAGACAAGACAAAAATAGGCATTTGGATACACTGTTGTTACGTGCATGTAAGCTTTAGAAAATGTATTAGAAAATTGTTTGTTACTGTCCATCAAAACCTAAAAATGCACATTTTAAATCAAAATTCTATGTCTACTAGTCTATGTAGCAGAAGTGTACAAAGTGATTACTTTACTGGAATGTGGTTTATAACAAAAAATTGGAATCAACCCAAATGGCTATGAAATAAGGAAAAGGCTAAAAAATAAATAAGAAAAAAATTTATGTGAAGAGAATGAGATAGATCTATACAATCTAACACAGTAAACCTATATATGTATATTTATGGAAACAAACTGCAGAGGAATAAGTATTAGAAGATATCACTCAAATCTTTTAGAAGAAACAAAATAATTAACTGTGGCTAGTTTGGGAGGAAAAGCTTTCACTTTTAATTTCATTTACTCAGTTTTAAAATATTTTGTTTAAGTGTCTATCACGCAACATAAAATAATTTTAATAACTAAAATCACAAAAAATATTTGGAAAATTTAAGCAAAGGTAGATTGCATTAAAAATAATAAAACATTATAGGTATTAAAAATATGAATTCTAAAAAGAGACAGCAAAGAAAAAAAGCAAGGGAAAATGTATAGCAAGAGCAGGAAACAAGTAACTGTAACAGACATGGGCAAAGGAATAGAGGCTAGAGAGAGGGGTAGATGGAACAGGAGGAGACAGGGAGGACTGGGGACCAGACCCCGAATCAGTATGCACTGACACCTGTCACTGTCACACTGAGGAGCTGGACTTTTCAGTGATTCTCAAGGCAAGGTGCAGTCTATGATTACCTGGTAAGCTTAATAAAAACATCAATGCCTATGCCCAACCCAGACTAATTAAACCATATTAGTGTTTCTTTTAAAATATCAGCAGAAGTTTGTTCTTTTGGTTTTGTGATTTGTTTCTTGTTTGTTATAACTCTTTGTTTTGCTTTGGGATGGAGGTGAAGCTTATGCATGATTACAGCAGTATTAACCTCAAAAAGTGTGGTGGTATGTAAAAAAGAAAATGGAGCATGTAAAAATGGACAGTAATCATGTTAAGTTGCTAACAGCAGAAAAGGGCAGGGTCTAATCAAAGGAGTCACAGAATGGTTTAATTTTGCTGCTGTCTTGGTATTGAGGAAAAAAAGGCAGTCCGAAGACATATAAAAGTACCAAGCAATGAAGATCTACAAACCAGGGTTATGCATGTGCTATGCATCAGCACCTTGCACATATAATTTCATTTCATAGGTAGGTTAACATGGAAAAATGCACCCCTAAGTCAGTCACCTGCTGCACTACTCAAGGTCATCTATTTTCAGGATTTTTTTAAAAAAAGGAAGAATGAAAACAAAAAGAAAACGCATTCATTTTAAGGTAAATAAGTTGATTATCCAGTACCCATAAATAATTGGCCTGCTTTTCTGTCCCATTTCTCCAAGAACAGCATGCAAATTATTAAAGTATTTTTACCTATAATGGCACTGTCGACACTTAGCTGAATGATAGGAATTAGACAAAAGCTGTTGGGAGTCAGAAGGTAGGTCTGAGTGGCAACCATCTGAATATTGCAGAATATAAAAAGTAGACACTTTGCACACACCCATTTTCAGCATGAGAGACTATGAAATAGTAATTACCTATATTTCCCATTGAAAGAGAATAAAACTCAACTTGACAACTGCATTTTAAAAGCACTCAAAAGGAGCAGCAAGGCATAAATTTTCTGTGAAAATCACAGACCCTCATTAGTCATCTAATGACAAGTGAAAGGAAAATGGGAAGACAGAGACCACCCACCTCATTTTGGTATCTTGCTGCATTCAGTTCAACAAAATCTTCACTGTAGTTCACTGAGAAGTTGAGGGCGTTCACCAGATGGGCAGCCACGTGCACTCCTACAGAAGCAAACCGGGTATAAGTCAGTGGCATTTTCATATGTGCTCTAAGGCAAGAAATCAGTTTCTTGCCCTCAATGATACACACCTAAATTTTGACAGCTATATGAGCAACAAAATATTAAAATGAAAAGTGAGGTCTTAAAAACCCAGAAAGAAAAAACTTTGGACATGAATAGTTAATGGAATTTTCAAAGGCTCGAATGAAATAACCATGGTAAGTCAAGACAGGAAAGAAAAACACCTCCTCCCTATGTACATTTGCATAAAGTGTTTCTAACAACATGGACATTTATATATTTATTCAATAGCTCCTGGATATTTTAGGTATTCCACATCTTTCATCTCGCATAGCTCCAACTTTTCTATGTATCTTGTATACTTTGCTGCCACAAAACTAAAACATAAAGGTTTTAACCACTTGAAATTTTTTCATATTCCATACATAATATCCTAAACCCAACAGCAAGATTTTAGAAACTACTTCACAAGGGCCAGGGATTTAGCTCAGTGGTTCCGCCTGCCTCGCAAGCACAGGTTCAATCCCCGGTACCAAAAAAAAAAAAAGAAACTACTTCACGAAAAAATAAACTCAAGAAAATAAAAACCACCATTTGATAAACAACAATTCTATAACTGGCATGGAAAACAGAGTACTCAGCTAATTCAGAGCTCACACAAAAGATAAAGTGTTGAACTTGTTACAGATTTCAAGACAAACTCATGTTGACACAACCAGGGAAGAAAAAAATTATCTTGCGATTGAGCAAGGAAAGAGCAAATGACCTATGCAACTGTCCCCATGACACCCTCTTCCCATTGCCAACCTTTCCTTATAGGTTAAATGAGACATGAATGAACAGCACATTATAAGGTGTCAGAGACAACAACAGCTGAAAAATCTGTGATCTTGGTCACATTTTTCATCTACTAAGTCCTCAATTTATTTATCCATAAAATGTTGGTGACAGAAGTGAAAAGTCTTGAGATAAGTGCCCTGTAACTGCTTAATAAATCATTACAAGTTACAGTAATATATGGACGACTTGGCTCAAAGAAGACCGGGCCTAGAAACTACAGAACTCTATGATCCCCTACAGCCTAGAATATGAGCTAGTGAGAGATCAAGAGCTATTTTACTCACAAAGACCAACGAAACCAAGAAAGTACTGGGATAATAAAAGGCATAGAAGTTTATTTAAAAGACTTAAAAGGCAAGCAATCAAATTAGAGATGACAAAGGGGTCACATTAAAAGTAGAAATATTCAAGACTTACTCTAAGTTTACAGTACTCAAGAGAGTTGGTATTGGTGAAAAAACAGACAAATGGAACAGAATAGAGAGGCCAAAACCAGAGTCACATAAATATAGTTAACTGATCTTTAACAAAGGAGTAAAGACAGCATTTTCAATAAATGGTCTGCAGCAGCTGAACATTTACATGTAAAGAAAATGAGTCTAGATAGACTTTACATCTTTTATAAAAATTAACTAAAAATTAGTCATAAACCTTAATATAAAATCCAAAGCTATAAAATCTCTAGAGAATAAGATAAGGAAAAGAAATAAAAAAACTAAATGACCTTGTGTTTGGTTGTGACTTTTTTTACTCACTACAATCTATTTTATTCTTCATATGAAATTTAAACTGTTAATATTATTATCATTATACATATTTATGGGGTAGTGTGATAATTGAATACATGTATATAATACGTAATGATCAAATCAAGCTAATTAAATTGCCCATAGCAGTGAAATTTTTAAACATTTTATTAATGCATACTAACTATATATTTATGAGGTATAGTGTGATATTTCAACACGTGATACAATGTGTACTAATCAAATCAATTAATATTACTAGCACTTTATCATTACTTTGATTCTACACTTTTTCTTCTGCTCATAAAATATGTAATAAGTTATTGTAAACTATGGTCACCCCACTCTAGTTCAGAACACTACAACGTCTACATAGCTCTTTTGATGTCTATTATACAATTATTCCTCCATCCTTTTCCACCTTTAATAATCACTATTCTACATGTAGATTCACATTTTTTTAGTATTCACATATTAGAAAGAACATGGAGTATCTGTCTTTCTGTGTCTGATATATTTCATTTAATATTCTCCATTTCATTTTGTTGGATATTATGAATATTTATAACTGAATAATACTCCATCGTGTATATATATATATATATATATATATATATACACCACATTGTCTTTATCCATTCATCTGTTCATGGACATGTAGGCTGATTTCTATATTTTACATTTTGTGAAGAGTGCAGCAATAAACAAATGTTTATATCATTTTCTTTGAATATATACTAAGAAGTGAGGCTGCTAGATCACATAGTTAATCTATTTTTATTTTTTTAAGGAATCTCCCTACATATCACTATATGTATATATGTTGTGCTAACTTACATTTCCACCAATAGTATTTGAGAATATCCTTTTCTCCACATCCTCACCAGCATTTATTGTTTTTTGTCTTTTGGTAGTATTCATTCGAACTGGGATAAAATGATATCTCTTTATGGTTTTGATTCCCATGCCCTTGATAGCTAATGGTATAGAGCAGTTATGGCAAACCTTTTAGAGACGAGTGCCCAAACTGCAACCCAAACCCCACTGCAATTAAACCTGAATACTGAGGTTTTTAGATTAGAAAAAAATAACTCATACATGTTCAACATCACTGGTCATTTGAGAGATGCAGATGAAAACAACACTGAGATTCCATCTCACCCCACAAAGAATGGCTGCTATCAAGAAATCAACCAATAACAAATGCTGGTGAGGGTGTGGAGAGAAAGGAACCCTCCTCCATTGTTGGTGGGAGTGCAGACTGGTGCAACCACTGTGGAAATCAGTATGGAGATACCTCAAAGAACTTGGACTACAGGTCCCATTCAACCCAGCTATTCCTCTGCTGGGTATCTTCCCCAAAGAATTGAAAGAATCATACCACAGTGATATATGTGCACTTATGTTTACAGCGGCACAGTTTGTAATAGCTAAAGCTTGGAAACAGCCCAAGTGCTCATCAACTGGAAACTGGATAAAGAAGATGTGTTTTTTTAATAAAATGGAGTATTACTCAGCCATAAAGAATGAGCAAATAGAGGCATTTATAGCTAAATGGATGCATATTGAGGCCATACTCTTAAGTGAAATAAATAGGACATACATGTGTAAATACCGAATAGTTTCTCTAGTGTGAGAAACTGAAAGTGTAAATAAGGATGAAAATGATTAAAATCAACAACTGATAATCTGAAATAGGAAAAGGTCCAAAGGTATAGGGGTGGTGGGAGGTGAAGGGGAAAGGGAAGAAGGGAAAGGAAAAATTATGAGAAAGAAAAAAAAATGGAAACCAAGTCTATGTAATAGGGAAGGGTGCAGGGGGTGAAGGGCACACAGATAATGGGGGAAAAAATAAGAACTAGGATACATCATGTTCAGGTACAAGCACCCAATGATAAATGTAAATGTATTGTATACCTAAAATGTACCAATAAATATATATTTAAAAAAACATTTTTTGTCTTAAAAGAAAAACAAATAATGTGCATGTCATAGGTTTGCTACCACTGCAATAGAGAGCATTTTCTCATAAATTTATTGGTTATTTGAATTTCTTCTGTTGAGAAGTATCTATTCATATAATTTGATGATTTTTAAACTGGACTGTTCTTTATACATTCTGGATATTAATCCTTTGTCAGATGAATAGTTTGAAGAATTTTTTCTCCATTCTGTAGTTTCTTCATTCTGTTACTTATTTCCTTTCCTTTGCTTTTCTTAGATAAAACCTTGCTTGTCTATTTTTGCTGTGATTTTAGAGTCTTATCCAAAAAACAGATGTGTAAACTAATTGCTAGAAAGACTACAGAGAAACAAGAATTCTCATGCATTTATAGTGGGAATACAAATATCACAGCCACTTTGAAAAATAGCTTTGTGGTCCCTTACAATATTTAACATACTCTCACCACAAAATACAGCAACAGCATTCACTTGAACATACCCAAAAGAATCAAAAACCTCCATCCACACAAAAACCCACACACAGATGTTTATAGCAGCTTTACTCATAATTGGAAAAAAGTGGAAGTAATCAAGATATTCTTCAGCAGGTGAATGGATACAGCCCTTTTCGTTTCCTATCTTCCCTCTAACTTTCCAAGTAAAGTTTCCTTTTTTCTGTTGTTTTAGTTACTTTTCTCATTGCTGAGACAAAATACCCCACACCCAAAGTTAAAGGAGAAAAGGTTTATTTTGGCTCACAGTTTGTAGAGGTTTCAGTCCATAATGGGCTGCCTTCAATGCAGGGTGGTATGGCAGAGGGGCAATGCAGAGGAGAAACACTTCATGGCAGGCAGAAGACAGAAAAAGTAACAAAGCAGCAAAGAAGCAAGTCCAAGTGGCTTTAGCATTTTCTTTCTGCCCCTCTTATATTCTATCTAGGCTACCAGGTTAGGGCAGGCGTCAAACCAATCAGTAGATTGATTTAGTAATCACACACCCTTAATCCTAGCATCCTTAATCCTAGCACTGTGCGTGAATCAATCACACACTCTAGATCCAGCCACCTCTGGAAAAGCCCCACCTATGAACACATAAGGCTTTTGGGGAACGTCTAGACACAAACCATAACACTGGAAGGAAGAAAGAAAGAAAGAGAGAAGGGGGGGCGGGGGAGGGGAGAAGGAAGGAAGGAAGGAAAGGAGGAGACACAGAGAGAGAGAGAAAGGTCTGTACTACACCTTCATCAACACTGAAATTTAAATTTATAGTTAAAAAATAAATAATCCAGGGGCCAGGGATTTAGCTCAGTGGCACCACACCTGCCTCACAAGTGCAAGGTCCTAAATTCAATCCCTGGTACAGAAATAAATAAATAAATAAATAAATAAATAAATAAATAAATAAATAAAAAACAATCTATCCTGCCATTTTGAATTAAAAGCTTTTATGT